TCCCGGCGGCGGGCAGGGTGAGAAAGTGCCGCCCTGCCGCTGGTTGTTGAAACCCCCCGCGAAACGGCCAGAGCTGAGCGTGTGTGCCCCTCGGGGCGCTTATTTCAGCTCCCCAGGCTTTGCCGTGGAGCGGCCGAGGCATGCGGGCACGCCGCCTGTCTCGGCGCGGCATGGTACCCTCCCGTAGGGGTTGAATTTCTACCTGTTTAGCTTAATTGGTCAGAGATGTTTGGTTTGCTGGGGCTTTTTTAACCTTTTTAAGGAAAAGACAGGAGGTGTACGCAGGGTGTATAAAGTGTGAGCTTTATGTTTCTGTATCTCTACAAAGTATTGTGTTGTATGGGTTGTGGAATTCATGAAGCTGAACACTTCATATCCTGGGGGATATATTCCTCCCCCCCCGTCCCTTTAAGTAATGGGCTGCGACTAAGTTTCACACTGGAAAAAAAGCCATTCTGTAGTTCTAAATGACGTTTTGAAATTATAAACTTTGATACACTGAATATCAGTCATAAACTAGAACCTATAACCTACACACCTTTTTGTGTTGTTCTTTATTTTAATGACTTCTTGGGTATTGGTGAGATCTGTAAGTTGTCTTAGGGCATCCTACAAAATTACAGTGACAGGGGTTAGAGTTCATGTTTTAGTTTCTCTTATATAAGAAAAAAATGTGCGTTTGGTACTGTAAAGTTTGCTGGAGTACAATGCAGAGTTGATAGAAAACTTTCCCTTTTAAAAAGGGTTTAGTTTTATCTGTTCTGAGGCATGTTTAAATGCATATTGGTTACTGAGCAAAGTAAAGGGAGTTGCTACACTTCTGATAGTTGAAGTCACATTAAGGAGCAAGAAGATACTAATTTTTAATGTCCGGAGTCACTGTAGTGGCCTTCATGAATGTAGAGAATGAAAGGAAGTTCTTGGGGAAGATAACATTTATTTTTTTTCCACTCAATGAATACTCATTTGTGCATTCAGAAGAGTCTCAGCTAGCTGTTCTTTTCTGCTTGTGTCTGTGTCAGTGGTTTTTATGGTTGTACAGAGTTGTTACAAAACTCTACTCAGGTTTCCAGCCAAGGCTCCCTCCCATTCTACAGAAACTCTTTGTTAACTCAAGAGTGGCACAAGAGCAGGAAGTATGCAGTGACCTTTTCCCCCCCCCCCCGTCCTTGGTAACCTCCACAGCACCTTTCAACGTAGTTGGTTCTACACTGTTAAGGTGCTCTGCAGTATTTAATTCAGATAATTGCTCTAAAATATTACACCAGTCTTTAATGGAGAGCACTCTTACTAAGTATGCAGTTGAACACTTTCCTGTAATTTAGTACAGTTTTTCTTCCACTCTTCCTTTTTTTTTTTTTTATCCACCCCCTTCATCTAGGTTAGTCTTGGTAACAGAATAGTATCCGCTTGTTTTGAAACAGCTTTTTAACTTCACAGTTCAATGAACTGTACTGTGATCTGCAGCCATTACAGCACGTTGCTGTGAAAATTGGAACTTTGGAAGAATAGAATTTCAGTTGTGGATGGGTTCCTCTGAACTGAAAATTGTTCTAATCAAGGTGATTGATAAGTACAACAGAATTCATTCATGATTAACTTTAATCCGTCATGCTGAATACGTGTTTGGCAGCTTTGTAATGACTTCTTTTGTCTCAGCTTTCTCTGAACTTTTGCTTGTTGTCTCCCGTATGCTAGGAAAAGACAGAATTATATTTGCGACCAAGGAGGACCATGAGACACCAAGCAGTGCTGAGCTGGTTGCAGATGACCCAGATGACCCTTATGAAGAACAAGGTCAGTAATAAGCAGAAGAGCAGTAGTAAGGAGTGAGAAATCACATGTATCAAACAATCTTAAAAAACGAACAACAAAAACCAAACCTTGAATGCAGTAGGAACAATTTATTCGTTCATTTTTAAAGACTTGCAGACAGCTGGTTATTTCTTAGATAAACTCCCAAACTCTTATCAGTTTTAACTTCCAAATTAGGACATCACAAACGACATGCTTTACTCACAGTGTGGCTTTTTCCTACACTCCTAATGATCTTTCAAAGTGGCCTGTTCAGATACATCAGTTGATGGCTTATAGTTTTGGTTAGTAGCCAGAGATAGCCAGAAAAAACTTTTCCTTCCTTTCTTTTATTAAGAAAGTTAAAGCTTAACTAGTGAAAGTTATGGTTGGTTTGTCACAGTTCTAAATGGCGAAGTGCAATTTTCGGGGAAGCTGAAGCGCGTTACATAGCACTGTCATTGATGCGAGTTGCTCACCTGCCTGTGTGCAGCTGAAATTGCCTAATTTGGTGATCTCTGAATAGCCAACTTCATATAGATTAAATCTGACTATTCCTGTACTGTGTTAATAGCAGTATAATCAATAGCTAGTAGTAGTATCTTTCAGTGGCACGTGACGGGTAAGTTTGAATTGCTGTTTTCAACTCTAACCATCTTACCTTGAAAAGATGTAGGTTAAAGTTTTCAGTGAAGATTACAATTCTTGTATGAAGTAGATGTAACCTGCAAATGGAAATGTAAGACAGCAGAGTGTTTCTGAGCTCAAGACTTTAAATATTATTGAACAAAGTATATTTTAGGTTGTTTCTAATGAGTAAATGAAATAACCTTCCTATCACAATGATTAAATAAATTTTGCCCTAGGTTAATAAATGGTCATGAACATCTCTGAATTTGGGTTGAATTTTCTTCTAATTTCTTTTATCCTTACAGGACTTCTAGCCTCTTCACTGTGTGAAGGGATCTCATTGCTTTCAGCTCAACTGAAATCGAAGTAAATCCTTGACCCTTTTTGAAATGTCGGTAGAAAGTTCTGCAGGCAGCTCTGTGACCTTTAGGGGGCGGTATTTAAGCACAGTTTAGCGCCTGGAGCACACAGAGTCATTCTATTAGCCGATATGCTGTGTAGTAAATTTGAACCATATCTTCCTATGTCATTAAAATAACTCTTTTGTACATAGATTTGTGTCGAAATGATTTTTACATTTAGCTGCCTAGTTTGGCTTCATTATGATTGTATGTAGTTAGCAGATACATCTACAAGTTTTGCACATCAGCAATGATGAGTCTGTTCAGTTTTATAATGACCCGAATGAGAACAAGGAGAGAAATTCAGTTTCAGAAAGGTGTTTAAAAACTGTGGTTTCGTATCTGTCAGGAATTCTTCTACCTTGTATTTTTAGGTAGGTTGTTTCGCTGGCAAAGACCCTGTACCCAAACTGCCTATTTGGTGGAACCAATCTGTGCTTTGGGATTTGCCATCTTCACCATGGCAATGGTGCTTCAGCCCCCAAAGGTTTCAAATAGAGACTCCCTACAGGCAATAAAATCTACGTGGCACTGGTATCTGTTACTGCCTTGACCAGGATGGAAGATGAAACCTGCAAGTGATTCATGTAAAGTAGTTCTTCCTTAGGTGGCAGGCAGTGTCTGAGGAGAGACAGTGTCACTTTTAAGAATATTTGCTTCCATTAGTATGTTATGTGGAAATAACTAAAATCAGAGGTTTAAACTCCTGTCTCGGCAAATTTAAAATCCGTTATTGGTCTGTGAAATGAAGAGTTAACAGCCTCTAATGATCAGATGGTGGAATTAAGTTCCCCATTCCTTTTATGTGGTCTGTAGCTTTCTGTTTCCTCTGAAACACTGGAGACTGCTTGCAAAATAAAGCAAAGAAAGATACTATTTCTAGATGTCACATCTGGAGAACATACAGACCCTTGGAGATGTTATCATTCACTGAACTGTTAAGTCACCTTGTGCAGTGTACAGCTAAGCAAAGTGGGTTGCTGTTTGGTTAAGTAAATCCATGATGCAGTCTGTTGGTGTTAACATGTGGTTGTGTAAAGTTCATCCATGTTCCTCTTCATGGTCTTTGGTGATAACTACATACTCTGTTAGCAATAGCATGTGGATGCATACTGGTCCTATAACTAAGCATCTATTTTTGACACCAGCTTTTAAGAGGAAAGGGAAGGGTGCCCATCTCAGATCTAGCATAATAGAGACACACTACAAAGGCTGGGAATGTGAACAAACAGTTCTCTTGATACCTCTAGAGAGGGGATTTTCTTCCCTCTATCTCATGCCCCACTCCACCCCAAATTACTCTTTTTATGCTTGTACATATGCCAGAGTATACAGTCTTGTGCCATACATTTGGATAACAAACTAGCCAAAATTAAGAGCCACTTCTTCCTTGTTTAAATGCCATAGTAACTGATTCCTCTAACACCTATTTTGCTGGATATGGAAGGGCTATAGTGAGGAGGAGAGACGGTGGGATTTTTCTTCGCAGTCCTGTATTTACAGCATGTTAGATCACTTGCTTCCTAAACTATAGATCAGGGAACAAAACAGAGGAAGCCAGAAGCTGATTGTGTCAGGGACCCTTACAGTAAAAATGCCTGTGCTTCAAAATTAGAAACTCTGTAAACTTTGTTTAAATACTATTAATGTTTGAGTTGGTGTTCTGTTTTTGTTGTGGGGTTTTTTTTCCTTAGCATGTGGTAAGTTACTGACATGTTTCAAGGGTTCTCTGAAAACTTCTTACTTGAAAGGTCTCAGGCCACAATGCATCAGATCAAAACAAACAACTGACCTAGCACAGAATGTAACTGCATCTAAACGGGAGGGAAGCTTGTGGGACGGGGAGACATATGGGCAAGATGTTTTGCAATATGTTGAAGTGCAGAAGCTCTGGCTTGTGTGGTTTTTATTTAAACGAAAATTGGAAAGGGCTCTGCTGTACATAAAGTAACACACAGGCTTTTCTAATTTAGCTTCTACTTTGAATAGAAGACTTAGCTTCCAGTGTTCAACTTCTGTGGAATAATTAACTATAATGACTCTTTTCATCTTTCCTGCTGTGCTGTGTATACACAGAACAGTCATAGCTGGGAAAGAATAGATTTATTATACAGATATTCCATAATCTGTATTGTTTTCTGATACAACTGAAACTCCTATTGGATGTTTTGGGGTTTGTTTTGTAGGGGCCTTTTTCATACTGAAGATAAACATGTAGTTAGGCATTTTTTGATAGTTCTTACTTCGCTTCAAGCATTAACAGCCATTAGTCTTTAAGCAGTTGACTTTAGTCAGTAGATCACTCAGGAAAACTTGTGTTCCGTTTCCCTTGGGAGAAAATAAAGTTGTATAGTAGTATTTCTGTCAGTTACAAGATTTTGTTAGCAAAACGCTGATGGCTCCCTTTAAGGCAAAAACATTGAAAGAAATGAAGCCTGTGAAATGGGAAGGCAGACAAACAAAGGTAGGTTCAAGTTAGCATTTCATATTTCAGCATATCTCAAAGTTCACTACAGCTGGGGTTGGTGGAAACAAATTCAGAATTCATCTGCAGCATTTTTGAAACAGTATTCTCACTGTAAAGCTTGGTTCTGGTCTTATGTGTTGCAGATGGCAGAATTACATGTGAAAGATCTCTAGTTTTCATTGAGATCTTTGTTCCCATCAGAATAATCCCTTGATTTATTAGGCTTACATGAAGAAGGCACTGGGGAGTTTTATGTGTGAAAAGTAGTTTTTATTAGTATTGCAGTTGTGATAGAGTTGGCTAAAAGTGCTTATGGAATTGCACCTCAAACACAGGTTGTTTCTGTCCTCTCCATTCTCTGTTTTTCCAGACTTGGTCCCATCACGTTATATTAGAGACAGTTTTGAAATGGTGTTGAAGCAAAAAACCTTACTCTTTTAGGAAAGAACTTGATGAATGATCAGATGTACAGAACTGTTTTTATGACTGATGATGTTCCTTGCAATCCTGCGTCCTATCTCTCTGTCATCATACATTGTGAATCACTGGCAGATAAACTTGTTAGTGGAATGTTTGTCATATAACAGGGAAAAAACTTTTCTCAGAACAACAGTGGGACTTCATTACAGTAAGTACAAGTGTTGACATAAATGCAGATGGGCCTGCCTTCATCCGTGAGGTTAACAGATCCCATGAGCTGAGAGAGAGTAGGTTGTGTGATGTCAGCAGTTCTTTGCTAACGCAAGCCTTGATCTACTGTGATGTAAACAGGGTGGTTTTACATTTCCCCCCCCCAGCAAGCTGTAGTAAGTTATGAGCCACTGGATTAGTGCAGTTCAGGCTGCATTTGAAAGAACATTTAAGTCAATTTCACTTAAAAATAGTAATCCCATATATTGCAGAGTTGTGATTCAGGGGGATTGATGGACGAAATCTTTCTGGTTTAATTGTGTTCAGCTGATGCGGTTACGCATTGAAGTGTGCATTGTGCTGTAATTGTCAGTGAGGAAATGCTTGCCTGATTCATCTGTGGTGTTGTTGGTTTGGGTTTTTTTAAAGCATGGTTTCTGTGCATATAACATCTGAAACTGATGCTATTTCAGTGATCAAATAGGTGCCAGTCAATGCTCATATGATATCCCATAAACCATACATTTTTGTACAAGTCTTAACCTTGTTAAAATTTGCATGCTTACAGGGCAGTACTGGTTCTAAAAGGAATAATTTATTTTAAGATAATTATTTTACAAGTAATTTTATTTCTGTGGTGTCTTCATTTCAAAACTATTCATGTCTTCTTTCTTTGTTGAAGTATTAGAAAAATGACTGTTTAAAATGGCCAGATGATATTAGTGAGGAGGAATATAGGACTTCAAAATCTGGTTTATGAAGCAAACTGTATTTCTTCTACACTGTACGGTCAGCATCTTTCTGCTTTATCATCCTTGGCAATAAGGAATCTGGCACCAGCCTTTCCTTGTCTCAGCTAGAGATGCCATGATACACTGTACCAGGTATATCTTCTCAGTACAGTGATTAGTACAGATGTTTTACAAAACTACCTTTCCAAATAAAGCATGATCTATGAAAAATGACAGTATTACTGTAGCTGGCTAAGTCATGCTAAGGAGGCTGTTAACTTTCTGTGTTGATCAGTCTCATCTTCATTACTGAGATTGGACTGACAATCTAATTTTCTGCTGGACTTTACTGACAGAGTTACAGCACATCACTGATGAATTGCAAACCAGAGTAAAATTTTCCTTTCGGTCTTTTTAATACAGCAATAAGTGATTGAGTGCTTTTGCTGTACCAGTATGTAAGCTTTGGGGTATTGTGGCCTAGTGTGCAAGGGATTGCTAGTGAGAGTCAAGTGTACATCTGGAACTTCATGATCCCAGAGGACAAAGCCAATAAGTAGCCTTATTGAGTTCTGGGGGACTAATTTAGGTAACATCGAGTTACATCAGGCCCTAAATATAATTTCATTTTTGGATCAGAATTAATGCAGCTTTATTCTCTGAAAAAGGTATTTTCATACCTGCTTCTAAAAGTAAAATGCTGTTCACTTCTGCAGAAACTCAAGCTGGAGATGAAGTTAGGGAATTCTACTGTAGAAGAGGAGAGCAAACGGTTAAAGTGGAGAAGCAGCCAGCTGGGATCACAGCACTTCTCTCGTTCTTAGCAGATGAACATAACTACGTGTATGTTCATGCAAAGCAGAGAAAGGCATTGGAGATATATTGCTTTAAAGCAATATATTGGAGACTCTAGAAGCCCACACGAGCAAGTCTGTTTTATTACACTTCTATACCTGACAGTTTAAAAGGTTTTCTAAAACTTACAGCAGAAATGGGTTCTCTGGTTTGCTGCTTGAACTTCACTGTGCAGATCAGTTGATGTCTCAACATATGCTCATTCATACCTTCACCTTGCTACTCCATCACTTAGGTGTTTCTGTGATGACTTGAACTGTTCCAGAGCAGAAGTTTACGGCTGCTCCAGTTTAGAGTCTAAACTGAGACCAAACTCACCTCAGTTGTGATCTAAAGTGCAGTTTAAGGTCTGGTTTCTGAGAACGAGACAGGCTGACATCCTCTTGCTATTCCTTGTGTTCTTTAACATGACTTAATCTATGTCTTACAAATAAACTCCTTTTTAGTTCTTGTAATTCTCATTTTCCAGTTCAGATTTCAAGGGGGAAAGTTGTGGGTTAGTGTTCCATAGCTCATTTAAAACAAGAGGAAAAATGCATCCATCCAACTGAATTTAAAAGAATTCTAGTCTTAATACTGGAATTAAATTCATCCGACTTGTACAATGTGATTTTTAAGGCTTCCTTGTTTCCTCTGACAGAATCTGGCAAGTGGATTGACTTGACTTCAATCTGTTTTGCAGTTTCCTTAAAATATTGTGAGGTCTGTAGTCCAGGGAGAAAGACTTAGTTCTATATCCGTGCCTGAATTAATCTTGCTTGTGCCCAGTAGAGGATCATATGGATCAGAGAGAGAAACAGACTGGCCAGGAAGTGAAGGGTGTTTAACAGCCTTGAAACTACAGAACTACTATGGCATTGTTAGTGCTTCATCTTACACCTGCAAGCTGTCAGCTTTCGCTCAATAAAATCAATTTTTGGAAGGAGTGCTTAACTTCTCTTCTCTCGTTTGTTCAGGATTGATATTGCCCAACGGAGATATCAATTGGAATTGCCCGTGTCTGGGTGGAATGGCCAGTGGTCCGTGTGGGGAACAGTTCAAGTCAGCCTTTTCTTGTTTCCACTATAGCACAGAAGAAATAAAGGGATCAGACTGTGTGGACCAATTCCGTGCCATGCAGGAATGCATGCAAAAGTACCCAGATCTTTACCCTCAAGAAGATGAAAATGAAGAAAAAGAGAAATCAAGCAAAGATTTGGAAGCTACTGCTATGGAGGCTTCTGCTGCTAAAGAGGAGAAGAGATCTAGCTAATGAAGATGCAAGGAGGCTGTTGTCTCCGTTCCTCACTTTCAGAGCCATGGACTTTTGCAGTATGCCTGTCTTTTGAGTTGTCAAGAAATGTTTCACCATTGTCCTCTACGTTGTATCATAGTAAATAATTTATTGCCGAAGGAGAAATCTCAGTGCTACCGCCTTTCAAGTAAATACTGCAGAAAGAACAAGTATGTGTTGTGTAACCTGCTATCGGACACAGTTAATACTTTAACAGTTTTTTTTAACCATCAAGTTTTCCTTGAGTTTTGACTTGAATAATGTCTTTATATATAGCTTTCAATTTAAATTCCACTAGCACAATAGGTCTGTCTCCATTTCAGTATGTTCTGATCAATAGCTGCTCTTCTGCAATGTGTTCTATTCTATTAATAGAAAATTGCATTCAATGATCTGTTTTCCATTAAAGATTTTTTTTTTTGCCGGAGTGATATACAGGACATTGAAAATGGCCAATCTAGAATTTGTAAAATCATTTCAAATGGTCTTATTAGATTATTCTTCATTTTATTACCAGAGTCAGGTAATGACTGCCAGAAAAATGTTGAAATGTATATTCCTTTTGATTTAATTTACTATTAAAAATGGTGTGTTGTGCAATGGTTGATAAAGACGAATGGAAAGCATGTTGGTCACTGGTTTTATTTTTGTCTGCAGCCGCATAGTTGAGTTCCTTTAGTACCTGCTCCTTCAGTGTGTAGACAGGCTCTTGTAAAATACTTTGAGAATACAATGAAAATGTTACATGGCGTAATGATCTCAAAACAGATACTGTGACTTAAGTGCATATGAAAAAGTAAATACTTTTTACCTTCATTGAAAGCTCCTGTTTCTGTGTGGTGTGGTTTTTTTGCTGACTGCTTGGATTTGAGGTGCTCTTCTGCGTTGTAAGCAGGCTTTGAATCAATTTATGCTCCAGCTTGTCAGATTTTTATTCTTGTCCCATTCTTTTCTCCCCAGACAGGAAGGCATAAAAAACTGTAAAGCACTTTCAGTAGCTGTAGCAGACTGTGGATAACGAACCAGCACTACAGTGGAACTGAGTAGCTATAAAAAAATATTTGAAAATTACTTTAGAGGTGCAAACAATAGTAATTCACTGTAGTTTAATACCTGTGGGTAAGGGAATGCTATGTTGGGTGTTCTTCCAAACAAAATACAGGCTGTAAGAATTGTATAACAAAACAAACTGTACCTCTGGCTTCAGTAACTGTTCATTGCAGGGCTGTTTGGGTTGTGGTGGGGTTTTTTGGGTGTTTGTTTGTTTTTTTCTCCTCATGTGTTGTTTAACTTAACTAAAGCATAAAAAATTGTAGTGTCAATTATGCAGGGCAGTAGGTCTAGTAATGTTTGAACACTTGCCTGTCTCTGTGGGCAGCAGTCTTGAGTTCTCAGCAACATTGCTTCCATGTAAGGTTTTGGTATCTTGTTGTTTGGTTAAGTTATTTCAGTGTTACTGATGATGCTTCTGAGTGTTTGAGGGGAATTTCTAATAAATTTTACAGTGTGTTTGAGCTGTTTGTGTTTCAGTGCAGCTGTTGGAGCCTCCAAAAAAAAAAATTGTAGGCAATCAAGTGGCTGACAACGTTAAGTTTAAGGGCATGGGTAGCAGGTATTCAGTGCGTCTCTTTAGAAGAAGCAAAGTGTGACAGAGCTTCTTAGTGTGACTCTTTCGGGCAGTGGGAAGACAAATGCCAAGTTAACCTGAGTGAATGGGCACAAAAGCAGCAGTGATAAACCTTGGCACGCCGGCAATTGGAAATCTTAGGCAATCAGATAAACACTGGGCACCAAATAAAACAACAAAAAAAAAAATCACATGTACCCAAGCATTGGTTGTTCAAATGGAAATCTAATGCGTTATTTGTGAAGAAGCAAGAGCTCTTTGTGAAGGGGTGTTCTGTTCTAAGACTGTTCACCTTTTACTTTTTTTCTGCTATGCTCTTCTTTCCCACATTCCCTCAGTGCTCCATGGATTTTGGATTTATCTTCTGTAACGGTATGTATAACATCTCTGTACAAAACAAAATGCCGCAATCCTGGTCCAACAGGAGCTAAGGAACTGGACTTAATACTGACAGGGAACTTGCAGCATGCAATCTAACGTATTTGGAGGTGTCTTTAGGATGGAGTTACTACTTTCTGACTGCTGTGGCTCAGCCTGTGGTGCTAGATCCACTACAAATGTGGAGTGTGTGTAAGGGCCTTACGTGGGAACTGTGAAAAACACGATGTAATGTGCTTGAGATGCTTTGAGAAAGGAAGTCATACGTCTTAGCCTAAAGAGGTCTTTGTGGAAGCACCTACCTGTGTTTCAAAGACCTAACTCATGTTTAGTAACTCTCCTAGAGATATGAACTTGCTTCAGATGTGAGAATATACTTTTTTTTTTTCTTTTTTCCCCTGCAACAGGAGTGATGCACTCAACAGTGTCTAGAGGGAGATGTTTATCTTGCAGTTCATTCTCAGGATCATTAGATCTGGGGATCTGGCAGGGCTGTTGGAAACAAGATCTATATCCTATGCAGTTCTTACTGAGAAGGTCATTGTTAAACCTTACAGTGATGTCTCCTGTTCATCTGATCACACGTCAATGAATCTCTTTGAGAAAAGTTGTTAATTAAATAGGTAGAACCCACTTTCTTATTCCTAGCGAAGGAAAAAAGGATATTACATGCTTCTTAGACTCTTGTTTTACTTCTCATTAACATTCTAACCATGATAGAGTGGGACAGTGTAGAGAAGCCACCAGCAGTTTGTCATTTATTCTTAATCAGCTCTATTGGACATGACTTCATTTTGTCGAACAGCCCCAGCCTGTCTGCATTTTTTTTTTTTCAAGTTCTTTTAACCCCTCTGGGGCTGATGTTTTGTTAGTGATACGGAGAACTTCAGAACCCACCCAACAGAGGAAGAGCTGAGAAGTGCAGCAATGATTATAACGCCAGTGGCACTTACCCACTAATGCAAGATAGTACCTAATATGGTCCACGGATCAGTATGGAGTTATTTAAAATGGCAAACTAGGCAATTTGGTAGTGATTTCATAGCTGGAGCATGACGTTCTCGAGGCCTGAAACAGTAAGAGGTTAAGCTTTTTTTTTTTTTAGTGGTGTTCACTGTAGACTAGTTCTGACTGCATAGAGTAAGATGATGAATTCTAGTTCAAGACTTAGGGATCTGTAGCTGAGCATGAAAGAAGCAGCAGCTTACCTCTCATATCTTGATACTGTGAAAGCCAAGTAATAGGCCAAAGACTACTAAAATACTGAAATATTAGTAAATATAATACATAACTGTTTGTACTAAGGCACCCTGAGCAGCTCAGACTGCTACTATTAACGTTAATAGCATTAGTAAAAACTTGAAATGGATTTTGCACCCATAGCTGCCAGAAGCACAAGGGTGTTTGATTAGATTACCCAGTGCTTTCATCAGTGGTTCAAGCTGGAACAGCCTTTCCATGCATTTAGATCCAATAAAAAAAATATACAACACATGGAAATGCTTGGAATGTTGCTTAATTTTTTGCCATTTGCTAATTTAATTGAAATTATTAAATATTGTCTTGCTTGTGGACAGTGCAGTGTTTACTGCTTGATATACAAAAAAAAGCTTTGTAATTCAAGGAAAATAAAATTGAGGTGGCAAGTTTTGCTCAGTGGTGTCAGGAGTGGAATGTATAGCCATGGCTGCCTAATGTAGGGCTCTGACTTTTCTCCTATTACTGACTTTACTTTCCTCAGCAATCCTTGGAAATTTCCTTTATTTTTTTGTGTCTGGGGGGAGGGAGTGTTGGGGTTCTTTTACAAATAGCTTATTACAGATTGGTACTGATACATCTGTGAGCAGACAGCTCATGAAGGCCCTGTTATAGCCAAAACAAAGAGCACAGGAAGATTTGTAGTGATTGCACATTGCAGATTAACCCAGATGCCACAACAATGATGTGAAGGGTAAGCAGACCTAGGATTTGTTGTACCAGATCTGATGCCAGTCCAGCTGATTTGTGTGTTGCTGAATGTGACAAGCTCCTTATGCCTCCTGAGAAGGTGAAAGCATCCCCTCATAATGCACTTGTTCCCTTCACAGGGCTCTGTATGGGAGAGGGGTGTTTGATTTCTAAATCTGTGGTTTCTGATGTTTTTCTTACTGTTAAGAGAGTGTTGCTGCCTCCACCCTGTTCCTTTTGCTTTCTGTTTTGGCCCCTTCTTATATGCTCCCCAATGCTAGTATTGCTTCCTTTTCCCCTGCAGCCAGCCACGTTTCTCTTTACAGGGGTTGGCTCTGTCCCTTACCTGGCCCAAGAAGTCATCTCTTCTTTCTCCTTGCACCATAAAGAACCTTAACTAATGAACTAGGGTGGATCCAGCTGATTTGCTTCCCACTTGACCCTGCATGGAACAAGTAAAGGTTGGCAGAATTTGATAGTTGGATGCCATGCTTGTTAGCGTTTCCCTTTGTGAAGCTGCTGAGGTAGTTAGTCCAGTTGATTACCCGTGTGTTTTTATATGTGGGTGTGTACAGATGCTATTAATAGGTGTGTGCTGGTTTTGGCTGGGAGAAAGTTAATTTTCTTCACAGCAGCTAGTCTGGGGCTGTGTTTTGGATTGGTGCTGAGAACAGTGTTGATAACACAGGGATGTTTTAGTCACTGCTGAGCAGTGCTGACACAGAGTGAAGGCCTTTTCTGCTCCTCACCCTACCTCACCAACCAGCGAGTGGGCTGGGGGTGCACAAGAAGTTGGGAGGGGACACAGCCAGGACAGCTGACCCCAACTGAAAAGGGATATCCCATACCACGTGGCATCATGCTCAGCTTATGAAGCCAGGTAAGAAGGAGGAAGGGGGAGACATTTGGAGTGATGACATTTGCTTTCCCAAGTAAACATTACACGTGATGGAGCCCTGCTTTCCTGGAGATGGCTGAACACCTGCCTGCCCATGGGAAGTGGTGAATTCTTTGTTTTGCTTTGCTTGCATGCATGGCATTTGCTTTACGTGTTAAACGATCTTTATCTCAACCCATGAGTTTTCTCACTTTTCCTGATGCTGTGCTAACACTATTGAAACAAGAACCCGATGTTTGGAGCATTAGTGATTTATTAACATAAAAAGAATTAATGAGCATGTGCTTTGAGGATGGCATGGTTTAAAATTTTAAAAATAGATCCCAAACCTCACATGAATGTAAGTGTCTGAGTATTTTTAATTGAAGTTTTAAGTAAAAAAAAAAAATAGTGCTACAACACATAACAAATAATACAGTAAGTTTTCCAGTTCTGGGGGGCTTGAGGGAGGACATCATGTGAATATAACAGTTCAAACAAAGCTTACTTCAAGCAGCATGAAAAAATTGAGACATGGTAAATGCTACAGAGAAACTTTACTCTTCATAGCAGTGATCCACTCTCAGAAGAGCAGTTCACAAAGGTTGTGTGTAGGTATGTTTTTTCCTTCTCAGCTGCTTGCCAAGAGCAGAAGCTGGAGAAGCATTAGTAGTGATATGTTGGAGTTACGGCTCAGCACTCACAGTGGCCATTTAATGAACTACTTTGATGCTTTTTATTGCCAGAATGATCATGTATTCAGGGATGCACGTGCTGCACAGCTGTTAGAGCTACTTTGACCTCCTGCAATTCTGAGTTTGCTGCCGTCTCTGAGGAGTTACATGTGCTTCTGCTTCAGACTATCACCTGCCCTATTATAAATTTCTACAGCTTTCCAGACTTGTCTTGTGGGTAAAGGGTTTTATTTTATCCCTACATCATTGCTATGTGGTTGCTACTGCTTGTGAGACACCTTGTCTGTTTGGCTGCTGTTAGGTTGTTCTTGTGGCCATTTTAAAGAATGGTCCCATTTTAGACATGATGAAAGAAGCTGTTCAGCCACTTCTGTATTGGGCAAATTAATCCTTTTTTCTGTGTTAGTATTCTTTGTATGACTGTGCCACCTGAGACAGTCACAGGGAGGAGTCTCAGGTATGTGACACTGTACACAGGCCTGAAAAACGGTGGGGTTTTGGTACAGGAATACCATACCTTCTGTGGGAGTTCTTTTAATTTGCTATGTGTGACCTTGTTTGCTTGTTCTGCGGAATATGTAACAGCTTCTCTAGGAAGACAGTTGTCATCTCACACTGTCTGATGCTCGTCGCCATTTCAGGTACCAGTACACAAGGAAGTTACTTTTTTCCTTTCTAAAGCCTTAGGGTGATTCATTTAAACTTTCTCATCTCTTCTTTTGACAATGGCTGTTCTAACTTGATCTGTGCAGTCCATTTCTATTTGGACAGACATTTTCAGGCAGGCCACCTGGACTGTAGTGCTGCAGAGCACAAAGACTGCACATGGTAGCTCTGTGTGTGTTGGAATGGTATTCTTTTTTCTTCTCTGTGAACTCAGAGGTACCTGATGAGCAGAAGTAGTGAGGCCAATAAGAAGTCAGCTTGCAGTGTTGACTCACCTTGATGTGCTTTCATTTTTCACTTTCAAATTAAACTCCATATCTATGAAATAGCTGCTACTCTGTAGAGCAAAGCCATTAAACACAGGCCCGTAGTTGGAACAAAATGTGCAATGTTTCTGACTAATGGAGGGAATGAAGTAGACTTAGGTGTACAGCTACCAACAAGTAAAGTTGAGATTCAAAAAGAATGGGAAATTAGAAGGAGAAGAAATCAGCTGAATATTTTTGTGTTCCCCCACTCCACTTGCTTTATACTTTAAAGTGTGTGTATCACCTACATTTGAGACACCTGAAATATGTGACATCTTGATGACCATCTTGTTTGCCTGCAACGGTGTTTGCATTTGGCAGTCAATCGCTGTATTATAGTAGGCTCCAAGAGAACACGCCAGGGTATCAATATTCTTGTTCCAAATAGTATTTCTACTAACAGTAGCTAGAAATGCTTGTAAATGACAATGTTGAAATAAAACATCCACAGAAAGGAACTATGCAGATGTTTACCCTCCCCACAAAATCACCAATCTGGCCCCAAACAGTGGAATATGGGAGTTTGCTTTAATATGGTGTTGGCTATAAACCAAGCTGGAATATGAATATCATTAAATAGGATCCCCTGCAGGTAAAGTGGCCTCTGTTGAAAAGCATGTTCCTTAGCTTAGTTCTAAACCTACACTTGATTTTCATTTAATCCGAGAGGCCCTTTGAGAACAGACTGTAAATTCATTACACATCTTTATTTTTATTGATATTTGAAAGAGAAGTAGTCAATCTTTTTCTTGTGAGACAATTTCTGGAGACAGTAAAAAAAGCAGTTGCTATGCTCTGAATTTCTGTAAGCTGACACTTCAAATTAAGCCAGATTCCTTGGTTAAAAAGTGTTTTATTACATTAATTAAATGGCTTGTTGGAGATGCCACATTGTTGGATACCACTTAGGTTAACAACAAATAAATAATGAAGTGAAAAAGGGAAAGCAATGGCAATGCTGGAGGAAAGACTTAGTGAAAAGGAGTGAGGAAGAAACACTATTTAGGCACTGTTGGGGAAAGAAGCTGGGCTTTTAATTTGTAAATACTTGCCTGTTATCCATTTCCAAATGAGCTGAGGATTTTTCTGCTCTTCAACCAACATGAAGTTAAAAACGGTAACAAAGGGAATGAAAGAAGCTGTTTTTTTCAGGTTCCCAGTGATAAAGAGAGCAAACTATAGTCTAATTTGTAGACCAGACCTTTCATCATTGGGCGTTAGTGTTAGGTTTTTCTGAATACTCCATGTGCCAGTCAGACAGTGCTAAATGAAGATACCTCCTCTTTCCTGAGAGCGTTAAAAATTATAGACATGGAATAGAAACATGCAAAACTAGCATGTGTCCCGGAAAGAATAGACTCATAATCTCTGCTTTACTGGAAGAGGGCATGTGTTCCATCCAACCAGCTTCATTTGATCATGAGCCTTTAAACAGGGGATGCAGGTCTTAAACTAGTTTCCTCAAAATATTGTGTTAGGGAATGATTTAAATAGCTACCTCTTAATTACTGTGAGGTAGGGTACAATTGATTTAGAAAGAACGCTTTTGCACAACAGAACTATTTTTACCTAGAGTGTAGATGTTACCACTCCTATACTTCTGTGAAAGGAAAAATAATCCTCCTCTGGCACAATGGGAAGGAAGCCTCGCTTCAGTATCTTAACGTGTGGTGTGGCCAAGAGAAATAAGGCAGAATGAAAGCGCTAAGTGCAATCAAATACCAGTGGTCTCGAGCAGAGTTTGAATAGCCAGGTTGCTCTCACCAGAACTGTAGCTACCTCATTTAATATACAGTCCAGCCAATCCATTTACCTCCTCCTTCTGCCTTGTAGCTTTTGTAGTGCTACAGCCTCAACACTGGAGCAGCTGCTAGGTTCCTCACATGTTTTGGCTCTACCCTAGCATTAAGGCTTTTTAGTATCAATTGCTGTGAAACCTTTATGATGTTACAGTCTAAAGTACTACAGGAAAGAGCAAAATGACTGTAGAGAGCAAGGGTTGGACTTGGAATCGCTTTTGAGCCAAGGTGGTTTCTGCAGCAGACCTCAACACTAAGCATTGATGATAGCAATGTACATCTATTAAAGGACCTGGTCCTAAGATAAGTGACAGGTTAGTTTGTTTCTGTTCAGCCACGGGATAATACTGCCTTCTAGGAAGCAACACATCATATTGGCATAATTGCAGTCTGATGTTAAATTTGTCTGAGCTTGTTTATGTAAGTATATTTGACATGCTTGTTTAGTATTATGCCACTTGTAAAGCTGAAAGAAACTGCTGCTTGTTAGTGGTCACTTATAAAGAAAGCTACACCCAAGTAATGAATGCATTATGTAAGTAGCTTATACACATTAATATCAGGCTCTGTCCTGAAGTATGGAAACGCTAATCCATATCTTTAGTTTTGCCTTGTAAAATGATTCTCTGGGTGTGTGGAATCAGGCTCAAATTAAGAACTGACTTGTAACCTATGTGTGATGTACTAGCTAATTGTGTGACAAGTCTTGTGCATTTTTTGAAAAAAGTCATGTTCCAAGTTTCCTTTCTAAGCACGTGAAAGGAGAAAGGGTAGTAAGTCTGCTTTCATCACTTCAGCTACGAGCACGTTGAATGGAAACGCGTGAACTAACTACACCTTTCACTGCAGTGTTACTAAATGGCAAAGTTCAGCACTGTAACTTCTGAAGCAGAAATTATTTGCACCCAGTTCGAAGAATATCTGATACTTGTTTCCCCAGATATGCTTTCCAGGGTTTCACCAGGCTGTTCATGTTCACAAGGAGTTTGCTGGTCCTAGAGTCTTCCTGGCCTGCTATAAGATAGTCAGTACCTAGTTGGGGGAGTGGGGGAAAAAAAAAAAAGTAAACTTCAGTCAGTAAATAGAAGAAAACAGAAGTAAATGCAGAATTTATTTATTTCACAAGGATCTGGCATGTAGCATCCTGGCCAGCTTCATGCAGTTTATGCATGTCCCATCTTATGTGAATACATACTTTCACATGCATATTGGCAGTGTTGACTCCTGGGCACACGAGTTCAATGCTGTCACATCATTATGCTCAGGAATTACAACAAATCGCTTTAGTTCTAGTGGCCTTACCACTTACAAATTCAACACCTCCATGTGCTGAGGACCAGGTTTGAGCCTGATCTGTCTGACCTTTGTTTTAAGGTCACAACCATTCTTCTAGTCACAAATATCCTGGAAGATCTAATAAAGTCACTGAAAGTAAAACATTTCCAGGGAGGCTTGGGCTTTTTGGTAAAACTTGTTATCTGATAAGAAAATGCTTTTTACTGCAGCTGTCTATTGCCTTCCTCTCTGGTGTGGATGTATCGAAGGACTCTGTCCCAGAAAGGCTGATGGGAAGTGTTGAGTAGGAGCTAATGTTCATAATCAATTATCACCACTGTTTACAGGGGAAGGAAAATACCTGGTAAGCATTTTGTCCTTACCAGGGTTGAGAATAGGACATGTACATCCTCTGTTGGTCCAGGATTCTGGGTATATGCTTCTGTTGCTCCGAGCAATTTTCACTTTGCCTGATTTCAGGACCTTCTTCACTTTCACAACAACTTCTGCATGGGTCCCTTTGTCATGAGCTGATAGGATTCTTGCTTTTATCACTGCCAGAAAACATATCAAGGTAGACACCGACAATAAATTTGTAAATTAATTTTGTTTTATGCTTCTAAAAAGTAGAATTTTAACACCTTGAAAGAAAACATGAAAAACCACTGCAGCTGTACAGAAAATATATTCCAATGCCTGTCTGCTTCAGTCATGGTTCTTCTAAATAAATTTGGACAAGAGAAACTAAATTTTTCTACTGAAGTAGTTAACTGATCCTTTCACCATGTTGTTTAGCAACTGTACTTTTTAATGGGCTGATGCCAAATTCTCAGAAATCGTAGGAAAGCACTTGTGTGTATACATAGGAAGAGTGGAAAAAAATTACATCAGCAGCTAAGAATTGGATTTCAAATGCACTGATTCTAGGCTTATATTTTGCAGTTTGAAAACTTGTATCAAGCTTTAACACTGGCCTCTGAAAAATTTTGTCCCGTGGGAAGGGACTGTCTGCTCTGCAGGAAGGAAGTCAGGAAGTTTCCCATCAGACTGCAGGCATGTCACATGGCTAAAATTCCATGATTGCACAACAAACCAGAAAAAGCATTTTTGTTTTGTGGCCCAACATCTGGTTGCCATGATAAATTTCTGTTCCTTTAATTTGATAGCATCCCATAACTTTTTGGCAGGGTAGTCTCATCTAGATCAGCCCCACAGGCAGGCTTTGTTGTGTCATGACACAAGCACATCAAACCTTTGGATCCCAGAGCTGTCCTTTCTTGCTTCATGTGATGGCATGAACCAGGTGTTCATAAACCACACTATTACATACATTCTTGGTAAACAAGTGTGGCCATTTGAACCTGCACAATGAGTGGAAAACCAATGGCAGTCTAGATGCAAGGTTTTTATCTTTTATTCTTGGTGTAGAGGCCAACTGTGTCACTGCGTGAAGATTCTAGCGCTCCTGCTGTAAAGGGGGGAAGCTAACTGGGCAGAAGGGAGCCACCACAAAGCCTTGTATGAAAAAGGCTGTTCAGTTCTGATCACAAATGGGACATGTCACTAGACAAAAAAGGCAGGAGAAATACTACCTCTCATTTCATGACTTAGCCAGTCCTGTCATTTTTCATACCTACCAGCTAATAACATGCATGGAGAGAACATGGTGAAATTATCATACCCTGAGGGCATGTTAACCACTTACCATAAGCATATTTCATTTGGCAGAAGTCAGCGACGCTTCCAAGAACCTTTTCTTTGCACACACACTTTTCTAGCAGGGGAGCCACAGAACAGGAAGGGTTGGAGAAGAGCCAGGACATGAGAGAGAAAAGAAAAGCAAATGGTACTCACTTATAAAGTTATATAGCTCCCATAATCTGGATGGACCTTAAGACTGAGACTGAGCTCAGTTGCTTGCAGATCTGTTTCCTGTTAGATGATACAATAATTGTTCTGAAATCTGATCAGTACTGTCAAGTAAAATGCAGCCCTCATGGGGTCTGTTGTATGGTTAATAAACAGATACTAAGAAAGACATTTGTAAGAATCAGATGCAGGGATAAATCATGTAAGTAATAACACCTGTCTTTGATCCCATAAGAAATACTGATCCTCCCTGGTATTAAGGTAATAATCCTCTCGGAAAAGCCAAGGTACACAATAGGTGTCACTATTACCTCTGGTCTTCCAAAGCCATTGATGCTCTAAGTGCTGCCTTCATCCATGGCAAGCAAAGCTGAGAACTATTTAAGTACTAAAGGCTCCACCTCATCCTATAAGCCTACTTACTTTGTCACTGTGGCTGGATACAATATACTTTGCTTTCTCCCCTGGGCTGTTGTGTCACTACAAATACCTTACTCCTAAAATCACTTGCATGCCACCCCAGAGGTGGTGCGTGTCAGTGACATGATCTTCTCACAAATGGCATTTGGAGTTCTTAGCAGCAGCTGAATGCTTGAGAAAGAGCTGTGTAACATCAGCAGCAGTACAACTAGAATCATGACAACAAAAGAAGAGTATTTTTCCCATACAACCTTATTCATGACTTACCAATTCCCAAAACAAAAATTGGTAGCAAGTTGGTTTGGAAAGTAACAATATAAGTGCAATGATAACCTCTATAGTTCAGATTAGCAGGTGGTGCCAGCAGCAGGGGGGCAGCCAAGCTAGAAATGAGTAGGGGAATTTAAATCAGGGTGGAGAGAAGAAAAATCTGTCACTGAGGTAGGTTACTAAATGTTTTCAGACTCCGAGCTGTACCTGGGTGCCTCAGTGCAGAAAATCCTTGCTCATGATCATTCCATTTCCACTCCTCTTCACTCTCGTTGGTTGGCGTTTGCACAAGGTCAGGGATTCGTCCCCCAATGGGGATGTTAAAGAATGGCTCATTGTCATAGCTGGGGGAACACATAAAACAGAAGACGTGGTTGGGACATGAGATGGGTGGGAAGCAGGTGTGTATAGCATGTGGCTGTCTCCAGACAGATGAGTTCCTTTCTTGAGATTGGGAGTGACTTCATGGCATATATCACATATCACAAGATCTAGGCCTTACCACTGCTGACATAGCATTTTTAAATGTAACTATTGGGCCTTTTTTGCCTTTGTTTGGGTTTTTTTTTTACTGAGTTAAGTAACTCAAAGTTAGTGACCACCTGATGATGTCACTAGGAGCTGAGGACACCTGCGGGACCCCACCAAACTGCAGTCACTCAGCAAATCATAGGATTTGTGTCCTGACTCATGCACATTTGGGGTACAGATCCCTGCCCTCTAGAAACAAGAGGGAGACCTTGTAATTCATTTTACCCTGGGCACAGATGAGAGGCAAGCTCTCCAGACTCTTCCATTTATTTCCAAGGCAAACGTGTACTTAAACACGCTGTACATATTTCCATGGGGTTGTGGAGATGCCTAATATTAATGCAAAAAGTCATCATTTCAAGACTGCCTTGGATAATACAATGGACTTAAGAGTGTGCCAGCCACCAAATGGAATCTAAGAAACCTTTTATGATTTACAGCCACCTTTTCAAATGATTGTGCACCCTACGGCATCCTCCAATTACTGTCACTGCTGCAGTATTTCAGTTAATCTTTCTTTCGCTTTGTAGAACCCCATCTCTAAGTGAACCCAAAGGAGGGCTTCTTTACCCATTGAAACAGTTTCCAGTATGCTGGTCGCAGTCTCTGGCACAGTCACAAGGGCGACAGCCATTTTCTCCAAAGCCCCAGTAGCCCATGAGACATCTATCGCAGTTGGGGCCCGCCACACCTGGCTTGCAGTAGCAGAATCCCGTCTTGGGGTGGCATCGCCAGCTTCTGCTGAAAGTTGCGTTGGCAGAACCCATTGGCTGGCAGGCGCAAGCTATGGAGATACGGTAAGAGGTGACTGAGGTTACGTGCCCAGGGGTCAAGTGACATTTTTGCAAAGCTGATAAACTCGTGCCTTCTTCCTTATGCTCAGTAGCTTTAAGAACCAGTAAACATTGCATTGTCAGCCCACATTTGCAATATTTTTGTTTCTTTTAAACTCATTAAGCACAGCAAAACAAGTACAACTGGGACCCATTTCTGTGTGAGCGTCAGTTCTTCCAACCACACAAATCTTGACCAGGTAGGGTTTTGCAGCAGTGGCAGGAAGCCTCCACTGTGTGTTTATTTCTAAAGGGGCTTGCAGGTGATTCGCTTTTGAAGTGTTTCACAGAAGATTCACTAGCATGGACGAGGTAAAAAACGATAGCTATTGCCTATGTTGTCTTTCCTGTGAACACAGAGATCACAAAACTGCTGTTTCCTCTGGGGCTAGATGTGGCTTATGTGGGTGGTTCAGATGACCCAAAACATTTTTTTTTAATTTCTGCCTCTAAAGAGTCCACAAATTTCCTTCAGTGTGAGTTCTAAGGGACACATCTCACCATGCAGTGCGGTATGTGTGTAAGGAAGCTGATGAAATTCTTTGTACAAATACGTGAGCAGATTTGTTATAAGGCAGGTGGACAGAATAAGGGAAGATCTCTAAACTCACTAGACTTATTTTACGTGGAGCTGGAGATGAGGAAATAGGAGGAAAATAACCCAATTCTTTCTAATGCTGTTGCCAGTTTGACACCAGCCTGGCAACTCAAGTCAACCTGGCAATAAAGCAGAAAGTTACAGCTCCTGTGGGCAACTCTGCCTTCACAGACAATGAACTGTCATAATCCCCCCCCACCAGTACATTCCCAACATGACACCATCAGGGAATGAGGTGAATATATAGTGGTGCAAAGCCAACACAGTTGAGTCCTCTCCATCAGGGCAGAGGCTAGCTGAGATGGTCAAGCCTTGTGCCAACATCTCTGCAGAGGTGAAACACAAGCAATAAACATACTCACTCATTTCTGATATTCAGACAAGTTTGATTAACATGAGAACTGAGCTGAACTCCCGGCCTTCATATTTCACCTCATTTTTTGTATTAACAAAGCAGCATGCCCTGGCTTTTGCTTGTAGCAGGGACTGAAAAGGAAACGCATCACTACTTCATCCATCTGGAAGAGGCCAGAAATAAAATCTTGTGGCTAAGACCCTCTTTAACAGAGATTTTCAGTTAAATGTTGGACACACAGGGTGTTTGGATAGCTTGGATCAGAGGCCAGCCTTTTGGATACTTATCTGAACCAAACATGATCTCCAAAGCTTTTGAAGTTTGCCCATCATTGCTTCTAATCAAACTACTTTTCTTCATGAGCTCACAGATAAGAGACCAAATGACCACGCTGATTCCACACATCATTTTCCAAGGGCAAGGGACGAGTTCATGACTATAGGGAGTTAAATGTAGCAGGGAAAGATTCACTTTCATCTGCAGCCTCACAGTTGATGCTCGGGAAAAGAAAATATCTTTGGAAAATAGTACAAGAAAAAGGCTGAGCAATTTTGTTTAAAGGGCATTTCTCTTATGATCTGCTTACTACATAGTTATTTTTTTCACCATGCCCTGTGTTCTTTATGCCAATATTTTTAATAATATTATTACACTCTGCTGTAGACAGATCTCAGTCCGTTGTTTTCAAGGGACACTAGTACAATAGCCTAAGGACAGAAAATAAGCGTGCTGTCATGGGCAATGTACTCAACACAATGAGCTGGTTGGCGGATGGCAGCAGGCTCGCCTGTTTGTCACAAAGCAGTCTTGACTTTGGGAGCAAACCCGGGGATTTTGCTGTCAGTTCTGGAGAGCAGGTGTAACAATGAAGTGCTCATTAGCACTGACAGTTTCAAAGGCAAGTTCTGATTTGTTGCTGCTCAACTTGAGTTATTTTTGCCCAGATTTTTGCAGGGCTGACTACATCACCCTAGAAGAGGAGACACTTAGTTCTGTCCATCACTGAAGAAAATGGATGTTACAGATTCGGGGATAAGGAGGGGAAGCACACACATCCTTGACTGCAGACAGGTCTGAGCCACAGGAAATAAGAGGTTGCCAGCATCTGGGTTGGCTTGAATCCAGGTTTCTGATTTCACTGTAATGTCTCTGTACATAGGACCTACCTGTGGAGATTTCTTATATTTCTGCAACTTCTGGGACCATCTTTATTCCTATCTTATGTCTGGTTTTCAGGTTTCATCAGTTAGGGTCACATAACAGATGGGTGAATCATCAGCATCGTTAGACTACCTATCACCAACTGAGACTAGATCCCGATTCAGGAAGATGAGGCCTTCTCCCATCCTATCCCTAAGGGAAAGCATTACAGGACAGTGACTGACAGCACTGGCAGAAGCTGATGAGAAGGTAGGGAAAAAAAGCGTCCCCCACACCCCTCCTCATTTTGGGGATACAGCTCAGGAAAGTTCCCAAATGAACTGTGGGTCATATGCCCCAGTTAGAAACTGGGACAGCTTCTGGTGGGTCAGAAAGCACACTGACTCGATAAATGTACAACACTTTCAGATGAGTTACACAAGTGGCTTGCGAACGCTTCGCTCAGTCTGTGTTTATTTAGCATTTCAGCTTGGGTGTGTACATTGTCTGGCTTCCAGAGTATTACAGCCAAAATCCCAGTTGCGCATCTAAGGTAACTCCCAAAATAAGAGCCCACATGTCACATGCTGAAGGGGCAGCTGTTGATGACAGGGTTTTATCTGTTTAATAGAACCAGAGGTTTGCAGATAAACTGCACAAGTGAAGGAACATAAAAGCAAGTCTCCAAAACCTCACCCTTTTACATTTCCCAATATTTGACAACACAGCATCTTTCGCTGCTGATTTTTGCTTCTTTTCTCTTGGCAAACCCTAGTTTTCTCTCCATCTGCCTCCCTGTCTAACAAAACACCAGCCGACATGACAATGGCCTTGTTTGTCAAAGGCATCATCAATTATGTTAGGGACGGTGTGCAGACAGCTCTGGCTCAGAGATGGCTGGTTTATTTGGGTTCTCCCCTTGACAGCAGTGTAATGAAAAACTTCATCGTTGTCCTTTAGGACTGGCGATCAGTCGCAAAGTGTCACAAAGTATCCTCTTGCCTTTTAGTCTGACTCCTATGCTAAGGTTTTTTTGTCAGAAACTACTGTAAAAAGGAGGAGATAAGGAATAATGAAAAATGAATAATTCATATGGCAGTCTTTGCTCAAGTCCTCAATAAATCTGTCTGCCCTCAGCACAGCTGTCTTTCCCATGTAATTAGACACAGATGTAAAATATAATATTGGTTGCAACAACATGGCCCCAACTTACAGGGAAATAGCAAGTGCTCCAAGTAATTCAGCGGACTTTGGGGCATCTTGCCTTAACCTTCTATCTAATAATACTGGTAAGATATGAGCAGACTCCGGCTATTTGATGAAAAACAGGCAAAATGAAAACTCAAAGCCTTTTGAATGAGAAATACATACATGGGCGTCTTTGGAGCATATGACTAAATCAGGGCAATTTTTAAAGTATGTTAGATGTGGGAATTGACTCAGCCAGTGATGTTTCCTAAGTGAAGGAAGAAGATAGACAGCTGTGTGTGTGGTCAAGGCCGGTTACAACAGACTTTGAACCAGAATGTGATCAGCCCTTTGTGATATTACAATTAAAAGTTCACTCCCTCTGCTCAGAAGTAAAAGGATGAGAAGCAGAGCTTTTTAGTGGTGTGTGCGCACGTGCATCAGGGCACATTTTAATTTTCAACCCTTGTGCTTAGAGTAAAAAAAGCTTGTTTTCCTGGAGACCCTTTTTAATGGGTCTACATGCCTGCATTAGTTTTAAGCTAAGCAAAGGGTGAGTACAAAAGATAGTGCCATTTCAGAAGGATCCTTTAAGCCTCCAAATAAGCCACAGGAAGAGCCAAGGATACAGCAGCTTTTCTAACCATTGGTTAGGAAACGATTAGGCTTCCGAGTCAAAGCTCCTGTACAAGTCTACATCCAAACCACTTAATCCCGTGTTGTCACCCCCAATACCAGGCAGGTGTGTGCTGTGCTCTGGGGCTCTTCTCATGTCTTTCTTTCTTTTTTTTTTTTTTTTTTAATATAGATCTAAGCAGTGTCAAAACAAGGCTCTGCACGTGACCTGGCTCTCATTCATCCCCAGCTGCTAGGAACAGGAGATGCAAAGGGATGAGAGGCAGGCTACCTCTGCAGACAAAAAGGAATAGCAGATTCACACTTACATGTCAAAATTCAACAGATTTTCATTTTTTCAAGGGAATGTCTTTGCAGTCTCACATTGGAGGGTCAGCAAAGGGTGGTTTGGATAGTGCCAGGACATCCAATTGTTATACAACTTTTTTTTTTCTCTAGCAGTGATTAGGAGAGAATGCTGTTCATTATTATGACTAATGCTTAAAGACTCTTTTTCTGGGCCTGGGCAGTGTCCTGTTAACTTTCTGGGAGCCTGAGGGGGATGTCACAGCTGAACCTAGACTTTGCTCTGGATGGCAGAGCACTCTTCAAGCGTGCTTTCTCAAAAGGATTAGCACAGCATTTCATTCAGCTTTTTCATCAGATTTCCTTTCCCAGCTCAGTATCTACTGTACACAAGGGTCAAGTTTTGATCTCCCATTGAGGTTTTTGGGTTTTTCCTCCAAGTTCAAAATGGGAAGCTGAGGACCAGGTTGCTCTCACCAAAATCATCCATTCAGTGTGCTGTTTGCAGTTTATTACTGCTTTTCAGCACTTGCCCAGTGGGTGTGTTTTTCATTAGTGGTGTTAGCATGCTTTTCTCAAAGTGAGATGATGCCTTGGAATTGGTATATTTAAATCCTCACAAACATGCTAATCCAGAAGTGGCAGCTCTTCAATTTATGATCAGCAGGCTGAGGTATGAAAGAAATGTATTGGTGGTCTAATTGCCTAATTTCTTACATATTAGCGATTCTCAAAGCAGTAAATGTTTTTTTACTGAATAACCAGAGTTGGTTTTCGGCTCACACAACCTGAATTTTAGGCTCACACAACCTGAACAATTTACTCAAACCACAACAGATTAAGTTTAATAGCAATGCAAGTTTTGCAACCTAAAGGATGGGGAAGAAGGTCTCTATGTCACATCCTGCATGAGGCCTTTCCGTTCAATGTCAGCTCTAGGTGTAAGGAGCTGACAACAGTCCTGGAGGTGAAATCTTCCCTCTGTCAAACCGAGTCTGTTCTAACCAAATTAACTCTGCTGGACTGCACTGGTGTTTCTGGTTTTGCTGTCACTGTTAGTAACCAAGAATGAAACATTCCTTGAAAACACTCTGCAGAGGTACAGCATAACATGAAGTGCACAGTTACACACTGCCTGCAAACCACACAGGGAAGTGTTTGGGGATGAGTTCTTTCATCATACAAAACAGTACCCTATTAAGGTAATTTGTCAAATCTCATTGTGGGAATTCTCCTCACCTTAAATAAAAGAAAAAAGGCACAGACTAATCACCCCCCTCACAGGTTTCTCTTAACTCTGTAGTTATATCTGTACTGTCCCTTCTATTTCCACACAGGTACAAGCATCGTGCACACATCAGACTGTAAAAGCTGAGGCTCTCTAGAGTGAACTGCACTACTCTCCTTATATCTTGATGGGGCAAGCGTTCATGCATGCCTTTGCACACCCGTGAAAGGTCCCATTGACTTGAATCATGCACAGATAGGGTCATGCTTACCTACTTAACCCGTTAGATTCATCTCAACCAACAGGAACGCTAGTGCAGGCCTGTGATTCAGAATACCTCTTAAGTCAAGGAA